ACCTCGGTGCGCAAGGTGTACGTCTTACGCTGTACATTCGTATGATTGCATGTTAACCATTGGATGGAACGACGTGGCCGAACCGAGACCAAGCGTTGCGAGACCGCGGGGCGTAACCTTCTATGCGGGGTATTCCCCCTCGGACAGCTTCGTAAATTACACCATCGGCTTCTAAAATTCGTAACTTTCGTATACGAGTTCCGTTTTCGATGTTATTTATATCCACGCGTAGGTAGAGACATACTCTACAACTTTTATTTAAACCCCGTCAACTAATTTTGAATTTATTTGTAAAGTTATATTTTTAACAGGTCGGGACAGGAAAAGTCCATTAAAAAATTCATAACTTTGTCATTCGACGTCCAATTTCGTATGTATTTTTATCGTTGAGCTCCTATTGACGAGATCTTTAATTCTCATTTAGGTTGTGTCGGCTAAAAATCGATCGATCAAAAATTCAAATTCCGGGTTACACACTGTTATTGTTATGCACGCTCTCAATTTAACATATAGTTCGACTTTTGTTGAGATCGCTAAGGATAAAAAACATTTTATCGTAAACTCAATTTTTACGTCACACAACGTCTTGCCAGTTTTGTCGCACAACTTCGACTGGTCAAACTTTTTTCGTTATAACTCGGATTTTGGCGTACTTTATATCTACGGAACCCTTGTGACATAGTACAACTCAATTAAGCTTATTTATTCTAAATAAATTTCTATCAAAAAATCGTTCTTTGACACTTAGTTTTTAAAGTTAGGAATAGTCACCTCTTTTACATGAATCACACATTCCATTATTATAGTTTATGAAAATGTTGACATGTTTGGGTTTTACGCTATAGTGGAATAAAAGTTACGATCTCTATCTTCATCAATTGTACCCTATATTTGAACAACTTTTTTAAATGAATACTGCCTCAAATCCTTTAAATGTATTCCTTCAATATCAATCAACATTAACATCTCAATTAGAACAAGATATCTTTGACCAATGAATAAATTTGCAACAACCAAACTAACACACCAACACGTTTATGAAATCTATGTGGAAACCGACTCAAATTCAAATAATACATATAATCATCTTGTGTATTTCATTATGAAAAAAGTTCAACATATTAAGATTTGAATGAATTTTCTAAATCCTAGTGAATATAACATGACAGAAAGAACATAAAAGATTAATATGGATGATTTGAATAAATGAAAACAATCTACATTGGTAATCCCTCCTTAAGGTTGAAGGTTGAAGTCTCGTCATTGACATATGTGGATTTAATGAGTAGTTTATGAGTAGATTATATTTGTCGTTTCGAAAAAGAAATGGTTTTTCTCATCTTATCACACAATATATGGATGTCAGTTCTAATAAGTTCTAATACCAACCACTTGACCCACAAACTCAAGAATAATAGCATTTTCAATAATTTGAGTGAAAAAAACATGATCCACTGTGATTAAACTACTGACTCCGATGATCATTAACATTATACATATAGCGAGATAGTTTTTTTGAACTTTGTTGAAAAATAAACAATTAAAGTTTTCATGTAAAATTAACCGTACATTTTATCATAATAACCATTTATAAAATTGTTTAGTGTAATGAATTTATAAATTTTTATTATGCTTTACCATTTGATGTAAAATACACATAAAATGTTAAAAATGATAGATTTGTTATAGTGAAAGGTCAATGTTACTTAACTTATACAGTAAAACCGATAAATCTATTATACCGAATAATATATAAAAAACTTCATATAGATTGATAAAATAATACAGAAAATTATTATTATTATTATTATTATTATTATTATTATTTTACAATTAACATTATGTATATCTTTATTGAAAAAAATATTGAAAAAGAAAAAGAAAAAAAAAAAAAAAGACACTTTGATTTATTAAAGGGAGTAAAGTGACCGGACCAAAGGGACCATTGTCGTTGGCCACCGCAGCAATAGCACTTGCAAATTGCAAATTGCAACCCCCTTCACTGTCACCTAATTAAAATCTTCCCTTTCATTTTTTCTTTTTACTCAATGGATTCACATCATCCTAATCTAAAGTCTAAACCCATTTTTTTTTTAATCTCATAACTGTGTAACATGGGACAAGAATGACCAAACAAAAAAATTGATCGGACAAGTTTCTTCCTCTATAAAGACAGATTAATAAATGAGTATATTATTAATGTTTTTTGTATAAACAAAAACCCACACTGACCAAAATAAGCGAAATAAATATTTTCAATGTCCAACTTCCGTTGTAAATTTAAAGGTTTCGATATGAAATATAAGTTAGATTTAAATTTGTTTAGAAGTAAACGATAGTATCAATGTATATATTTGTACAGGAGGAATGTGTTGAGGAAAAAAAATATTGAACACAAATACAGGTTAGATCATTAGAATGGTGTCGTTTTTGTTGTTTCAAATGGGCCAATGAAAAGCAGCCTAATAAAAATATCTACAACTACAACTTATAACTTAGCTCATTATGAGCTGGGCCTAGAGCGAAACTGGAGTTGGAGATTTGGGCAAAGAAAACAAATCGGTGTCAAACTTTCTGTTATTTACACGAACCGGAAGTTGAATGGTCTCATTGTAATAAGGTTTATATATTTGATGCTATATTTTTGAAAGTTATAGAATTTATATTTCGGATATAATTAGTTTAATACTTTAATTGATAAAAAGTTTGCTCTTTGTATATGATACGTTTTAGTTCATAACTAGAAAAGATTCCCCAGTGTTGCCGGGGTCAGAAGGTATTGGTAAACCACAAGGACCAATGATGTAATTTTTTCTAACAATAATAATAATAATAATAATGATGGATCATTTCTGCCAAAAGACAAAATACTAATAATATGTAATAAAAGGCGAAAGTTATGAAAAATTCAAACCAAAGTGAAATGGTTGTTTGTGAACAAAAACATAAAGACGAAGGGTCAATGTTTTAAGTTGGAGTACCAAAATTGACAAAAAAATGTAACACTACAAAAATCTTTAATAAATATAGAAAAACAAAAATGGACCAAGAGTGTCAAATTCAACAAAACCTAAGGACTATTTATGTAAAATAAACCAATTCCTTATTGTTCATAAATGCTTTTACACGAAGTGACGATAAAAAAAATGAGAATCGTTTAAAGCAAAAGCGGAGCGAGAGAATTGATCGAAAGAAGTAAAAAACAATAACTTAGGGGAAAAGTGGCAACAGGTAAAATAATTTAAACAAAAGAGTAAAAAAAAAGTTGTAGAATTACCGTTTCATAAAAGTGTTATCCTTTAAACAAAGTGACACACAAAAAAAAATAAAGGGACCAAAAATGTAATTTAAAGGACCAAAAGCGACAAAAATATCTCAGGTTTATTGTTCTTTTTCTTCGTAACTTTAATATATATATATATATATATATATATATATATATATATATATATATATATATATATATATATATATATATATATATATATATAAAAAAGGTGTGAAACCCATGTATAGATAATTATTGTTTTTCATATTTTTCAATTTCAAATTTTTTCTAAAATATAAACACCCACTTCCATCCTATCCACATCTACCTACCATTACTTTAATACTCCCAACCTACCACACCCCTACCTACTTACACTCTCTCCTAAGCTCACCCCTACAAACATATACACACACACAAACACACTTACACACATACCCACCTACACCCCCTCAAACACACACACCCCACACCCACTCCTACCCCACACCCACAAACACAAACACACACCCCCTACACACCCATACCCACCTAACACCACTACCACAATCACCAATCTACCATTACCATCACCACCACCACTACCCCATTACCACCACCACTACCCAATCATAAGCACCACTACCGCCGACATCACCACCATTGCCACAATTGCCACCGCCACAATCACCGCCTGTCATCACCACCATCGCCGCCACCGCCACCGCCACCACCACCACTTCCCCCCGCCGTTGCCCCCACCACCACCATCCCACGCCACCTTACCACTTCTACCGTTTTCTAAAAATGAAAACCGATAGAAAAATACGCATTTAAACACATTTTCTAATTTTCTAAAACTGAAAATGAATAATGAATAAGTTTTAACTAAACATGTTTTCTAATTTTCCAATGAAAACCGAAAACAGAAAATGAAAACTGAAATGGGAAAACAAAAAACACAAAATGAAAATTGTTTTCCGTAACTAAACACAACCTAAGCTTCTCATAAATTTCCATTTCCATGAGTAGTTGCATGACAAGAAATTACCGAGAAGTCCCAACAAAAATTGTATTTTTGAATTATTGTGTGTCTTTCCATATATTGTTTTGGAGAAATCAAATATCCTCTCATATTTCTTTTTTCTATACTTTTTCTTATATTCATTAATCAAGATAAATGTCAAAATTAAGAGAGAAGATTAATAAAAAAAGTATAAAGATTTTGCATGTTATTATTTTGTATTAGTTGGAAGTAGGTATGAATAAAATGTAAGAGAATAAATATATATATATATATATATATATATATATATATATATATATATATATATATATATATATATATATATATATATTATTGTTTTACGGTTAGGATTCAACAAAAGAAAATGTATGTGACCACAATTCAATTATTATAGGAAATGACCACCATTGGCAAAGGTTAAATAATTTTGATATTTCAATATTTTTGGAGAATAAAATGCATTTCAAGTAGATGATTTATTTTGTTGAAATTTATTTTCTTATGAATTATCTAATAATACCATACACAAAGATAGAGTTGTTGGCGCTCAAGACCCACAAGATTTCATGATATAGGAAATACAATAACGTGATCAAATACTTACGAGAACAAATACAATAACTCAAACTCCAACATATTTCACCTTTTGTGGATGATCTAACTTGGCTATACGGTGGATAAGTCTCCTTTAGATGTATTGAGTTTGTCTGAATATAAACCAATCATATGGGCGAGGAGGATGAAGACGAGATGAGACTGAGCAATTCTGTGACACCGACTCTATCTATGATATGGAACTTGGGCAACACCAATGATAAAGGTATAACTTTTTGAAAGATGTTGACCTTGAAAGTTAAATATCATCTCCAAAATTCATCATTATAATAACTAGTGGCAATAATATGTGATTTTTTCCTTTATCAGGTCCAGAAAAAAACTTGAATTTATGCTATCTAAGTTTTTTTTTTGGTACTTATTATATGTTGTCTTTTCCTTTATCATGTCCAGAAAAAACTTAAATCTATGCTATCTAAGTTTTTTGACATTCTAGTGGGGATGTCAAGAAAATAATGTTGGTGTACTGTGTGATAGTAGCTAGGGGTAGAAAATCAACTTAGAGATTTTGGAAGTCTTGATGCGCTAAATTGTTCATTAATTCAAAAGTGGATATGATGTTTTGTTCATGAACCTCAGGGCCGGTCCGAGCAGTTTTGAGGCCCGGGGCAAATGCAAAAAAAATGGCCCTTCAAGTTAGCAAAATTTATAATCACATTACTAATGACATGTACAAAATGCAACCAATAGCAAATAACTATTAGATGTTACAAGAATCTCTTTTTTTTCACAACTTGTTTATAGATATTTTTTCAGATTCTATTAACTGTTGAATTTTTTTTCTTCACGTCCAATAAATATTTTCTAATAAATGTTTTAAAAATTCAAATATATTTATATCAACGTTATATCCTTTTTGAAATTCTATTAACATAATATTAAACTCTACGTTTATAATGAAAATAATTATATTCCATATTTCCGATACGTCAAAACATATCCGAGACTAAATGCTCAATTAGTTTTTTTTTTTTTTTATTTTTATTTTTATTTTTTTATTTTTTTATTTTCCATTTTTTTGTAGCCATACAACCCCCCCACCCCCCTACATATTTAGATTTTAAGAAATTAGAAATTTAAAAAATAAGAGGAGCAAATCAGCAAACGTACAATTATTTTATTTAGTGCAAACAAGCAAGTGGCAATTTAGGTTTGAGAATGTTGTGCCAAAAAACTATCATATAGCGATTAAAAGGGAAAAAAAATTATCGGGCGGCTGAGGTTAGAGAGAAAGAACAGAGAGAAACACTGACATATGAGGTAATTTGATTGCCGTTGGGAAGATCGGCGCTTAAGCCACATACGTAATATCCCTAACTCCTCGTTTTTTGTGAGATAATGCTGGGTCCAATTTTGATTTATATTTCCATCCTAAATCATAATTTAACGAAGCAGGCCAATTTTTTAATTTTTCAGATTGTGGCCCTTTTTTACCGGGACGCATAAAAAAAATATAAATTACTTTGTAAAAGGTTCGAACGAGGGTCATCTATTGCGTCACTCAAAACAATCATCGCCTTAACCATCTGAACTACAAATACACTTAATTATATTTTGCTTATTTATGTTTATATTACCTAAAACCATATATAGACATTAATCCTAACTTGAAGGGGCCCCGAGATTTGGCGAGGCCCGGAACAATCGCCCAACTTGCCCACCCCTAGGGCCGGCCCTGATGAACCTTGGTCGTTTTGGGTTAGGTTCATATATGAGATTTGTGAATAGAAATTCTATTGAGTGTTGGAATGTGGTCATTAATTGTTGGCTCCATTAACCGTCTTTACAAAGACATTATTTATCTAGGTTGTCAAGAAAGACAAAAGATAATAAAAGTACTAAATATAAAAATTAACTAAAGTGGAACCAATGTCTAAATATAAAAATGAACCAACTAAGAAATTCATATCTATTAAAAACGTTGTATGCACCAAATAAAATACGAGCAGACCATTTGATGGTTCATTTAATGCATTTCTGCTTTTGTTTAAAAAAGTAATAGCAAGAAGCGAAACTCTTCATCGACACCCACCCCCTTTTTGAGCCTGAATTTGATTCTGTCTCTCGTACTTCTTTCAATCGCATTTAATAGAAATTCAGCAATCTCCGTGTCTCTAACATCAATGGCGGCTCTTCGATTTCACTATCCTCTTGTAACTTCTTCTTCTTCTTCTTCAAATTCATCCCCTTTTCTGAAATCTCAGCTTCAGAGAAACCGTTTAGTCAATATACACGCTAATGGAAGTTTCAACAATTTAGTTTCTGCTGCTCACTCCAATGGAGACGTACCCGGTTCGATTTCCAAAACAACATCTTTCTCCCAGGTTCTTAACTTGTATTTTGTTCGCGGGTTAATGTTTTCTTTGATTATATGTTGTGTAATTGTTTAATTTTTACTGGGTGTAGTTGATTGAGTCGTTGATTGATAGAAAGAACTTGACGGAGGCAGAAGCGGAGGAGTCTCTTGATTTTCTGCTGCAAGATGCCAATGAATCGCTGATAAGTGCTTTTCTTGTTCTTTTGAGAGCCAAGGGTGAAACTTATGAAGAAGTAAGTTCAATATCTTGTTCCCCATTTCAATATAATTGTTTGACTTTTGTGGTCAAATCTACCTTTCGATATCATCTAAAGTTGGTGATGTTATGACGTTCGCAATGAAATTGGTCATATATTTATGTTCTTTTTGAAGATTAAAGCTTTGTTTTTGCTAAAGCTGTTTTATAATTTAACCTAGTACTCTTCCTAGTTCTTGATTTTCGTCTTCTTTGAAAAAGGTATCGTCTGAGTCTGACCATAACAGGTCAACATATTCCCAATTTTGAACTCAGAGAGTTTACCCAAGCGATTGAGAATTCATTGTTCATGGAAGAATGTAGATGATATTTATTGTCCATTTGTGTATTTGGACTACAGTTTTAAATCAACGTGTGTATCCTACACTGAACTTGTTTTTGGATGGTCTGTTTAAAATGACCAATTTTGACCATGGTATGGTATGAACTGGCATATCAAATGAACTTTGAAATGACTAATTCTGATAAACATCGATTGATTCCCCTCTTGTCATCATGATTACACAGGTAGTGGGATTAGCAAGAGCCATGTTCAAACACTGTAAAAAGGTAGAAGGATTAGATGATGCTGTTGACATAGTTGGAACTGGTGGTGATGGTGCAAACACTGTAAATATCTCAACCGGATCATCCATATTAGCAGCTGCCTGTGGAGCAAGAGTTGCAAAGGTGGCATCCTCTTTCAACTTGTAGGCCCCACACATAGCATGACATAACAGGTTGTACTGCATTCAACATGCAATTTTTGTCCTACCCAAAAAGGTGGGACAAGGACTCTCTCTTGATCTGTCTCCTGTGCAAAAGACGTTAATGCCCTTCTCATCCTCATCATTAAAAATATACCTAGAAAGATCTGTCATGTGTGCAAAAGACGTTAATGCCATTGGCTTGTTTTCAAAGGTTATTTAACATTGAGGTTATAAATGTCCATTTTATTTATTGTAGCAAGGGAATAGGTCAAGCTCATCTGCATGTGGAAGTGCTGATGTATTAGAAGAATTGGGTGTTGCCATTGAATTAGGCCCTGAGGTTTGTTGAATTACATGTTTATAGCTCTTCATCTTTCCTTAATGCTTATGGCTTAGAAAACTGAATAAGTTGTAAAGTGATTGAATTTGTTGAAAGTTTTTGGTCTAATTTGTTATTAATTGTGTTTAGGGGGTGAAAAGGTGTGTGGACAAAGCAGGAATTGGTTTCATGATGTCTCCGATATATCATCCAGCTATGCAAATTGTTAGACCAGTGAGAAAACAACTCAAAGTGAAAACCGTATTCAACATCCTTGGTCCTATGTTAAATCCAGCACGTGTCCCTTTTGCAGTTGTTGGTGTTTACAAGGAAGATTTAGTTGAGTGCCTTCATGATTATGAAAACATTGTCTTTTTATTACATGGAGAATTCTAGCCTTCGTTTACCTATATGTCCCTTTCATGATAAGCTTGCATTCATGTTTGTTTATTATGGTTTTATGTTGTATAGGTTCATAAAATGGCAAAAGCACTTCAACGATTTGGCATGAAAAGAGCACTTGTTGTCCACTCTGAAGGCTTGGATGAAATGAGTCCTCTTGGTAAGATCAGTTATATGTATTTTTTGAGATATTAGCATTGCACTTTTATAAACAATTAACATGCTTTACAATGGATTGAAATGTTTGAGCCCTTGATGTATTGATCTTTTAATCTTTCTCCAATTGTAGGGCCAGGGCTAGCCCTTGATGTTACCCAAAATTCAATTGAGAAGTTCTCATTTGATCCATGTAAGTCTCTTACCAATTTTTCAAGAACAAATGTCAATATGATTTTATGAATTCTATATCTCCAAGGGTTTGATTATCTGATTATTGCAATTTCAAGTTGTAGACAAACAATTTGTGTTTGGGTGAAATGATGTTAGTTCTGATTATCCAGAGCAAGATAATAAACTTTTTGTTTTATTGAAGTACGTCACGCATAACAAAAAGACTATATTACCCTTCCTGTGAACCCTAAATTAAAAACCTAAAAAGTACTAATCCTATAACTGGAAAGTATAACTTATGCAATAAATGTATATCATATATGGCACATGCTTTTAAGTTTTAAGTTTAAACTAATTTGAGATTTCTTTTTTTTCACAGTGGATTTTGGAATGCCACGTTGCACAGTAGATGACTTGCGTGGTGGTGATTCTAAATACAATGCAGAAAGCCTAAGGCGTGTATTATCAGGAGAAAAAGGATCTATTGCTGATTCATTTGTAAGCCTTTTGAATTGCTAAAGTTCAAACTTTACACATGTTTGTGTTCATGTGATAATAGCTCAGAATTTTACCATGTTTATATGTTGATACGTGGATACTGAGATTTGGTGATTCGAAAAGATTACATAAATTGGTATGTTTGCCACATCAAATGGTTACAAAAGGTTTGGTAAAATGGTGAAAGTATATTGCTTTTTTTTGTGACTTGAAAAATCTGAAACGATAGTAACGTTTGACTTTTTGACTATCTTTATGTTTAGGCACTCAATGCTGCAGCAGCCCTTTTGGTGAGTGGGTGTGTAGAGAGCTTAGGAGAAGGAGTGGTTATGGCTCGTGAGACTTTAGAATCTGGAAGAGCAATCAAAACTCTTGATTCGTGGATTGAAATCTCTAATAACTGCGTTGTAAGACATTGTATCAGTGTTGTATCTTTAATTTTATTTTCTTATTAGGAAATTGTACTTTGAGTTCTATCCAATTATACTACTTGGATGATGTTGCTATGATTGGGTGGATTTTTCAAAGTGCAATGTTGTAATGGGGAAAAATGTAAGTATGTTGTCGTGTCTTGCATTTAACCTTTTTTTTTTTGGTTTGGTAATGCATTTGCAGAATATTGAAGTGATGGCATGAAATTGAGTTGAAAGGTGAGAAGCTGTTGTAGATTCAATGGCATAATTAGTTTTTTTGAAGGTTTGCTTGTCTTTCAATTTTGGAGTTTGTAATGTGGTGTATGCCATTTTCGTGGTGAGCCCATATTCTAAAAGAGCATAGAGGATTTTGTTTTTGGTTTTCGGAGAAGATATGTATTGATATGATGCGATGCAATGAATTAGTGGTTCATTTTGAAATAATGAGATATGGCATTTTCTTGTATTTGTTATAAAAAGTTAGGAATTGAATCATTTTGAAATAATGAAATGTGTTTGGTTTGATAAATTATCAGAAACTTTTCCGCAAAATGAGATTTTTCCGTTTTTCAAAAATTACATGAAACTTGAAAATGAGATTCTCTCTCCGTAACCACAACATATTTTTAAATCTTGAACATCTTTATAATTTAGTTTATACATGAATTCAATTTATCTATATATGTTCAATTTATTTGTAAATTCCATTTATTTGGGAAATTTAGTTAATCTAAGGGGAAAAAACTTATAGTCATTCTTTTCATCTTATATAATAGAAAACTAGATTATGACCCGCGTTAAACGCGGGAAACACATAAATAAAATGCAAATTTATATAAATATTACAAAATAATTATAAAAAAAGTATGATTATTGGTATTATTGAAATGTGTAGAAATTACACTAAAATATGTATATATATATATATATATATATATATATATATATATATATATATATATATATATATACACATAGCGTTAAAGGACCTCTTTATAGACAATATTTTTTGTTTTATTAGTTCAATGACCTTGTTTGTCACATATAAGTACCTTCAAACATTTTTTACTTGTGATACGGAAAACAATTATATATAGTCAACCATACGTGAAAATGGGTCTACACAAGTATACTCCAACATTTAACAATGTACTTTCTAAATACATTGTTATTTTATGGCTATATTACGAAATATAACTGGTTATTTCAAAAAATAACAACTTATTTATGTTCTTTCAAAATGAACCACATAAAACCCCCCACAATATTTAATATAAAGAAACTATAACCAATAAATCTGCAATGAAACTAATCATCTCCCTCCACTTCATCTCTAATATCAAATCTTTTTTTTTCCCCTTAATCTAAGTTATTGTCACTATCACCGACAATGTTAAGATTCATTGATGGCTTCTTTTTTATTTTAGGGATAATATGACAGAAATCATTTATCAGGTCCATCATTTATGTTTATATATTCGTTTTTCTTTTTGTTGTTGATTTTGATATGCCTTCTTCGGTTTACCACCATCTTTTTTTCCAGGCTCTTTTTTTTTTTTTTTTTTTTTTTTTTTTTTTTATTTTATGAAATAATATTTTTTTTGTGAAATTCTTTCTACGGTTTTGAGTATGTGCATGTATGTTGATTTTTTTGAAGTAAAGAAAGTAGGGTTTTTGTTCGATGTTGGTTCCTAGGTTTGGTTTTTATTTTTTGTGAGTTCTCATAATCCATTGTGTTTTATTTTCCATCTTTATCTACAATCTTTATGTATAGAACACTTTATCCATATAGTCATTCACTATAGAGTTTAATGAAGGAAAGAAGAAACATCTCTTTAGTTTTATTTACTTTGCAAATTATCGAGCATCCATGCAAAGCTTACAACATAATGAAAAAAAAACCCTTATGAGGTAAATGCTAATTACGATTCTATCCCTTTTCCTCTTGTAACAATTATCTCACTTCAAAACATCTACTTTTGTGTTTCAGCATATTATTGATAGCATGAAAGATCCAAGCATTGTTGCATTTTGGTTAAACACAATGACTCAAATTATGGAAGGATTTAAATATGATGATGAGGTCAAACATAAAATATGGTGATAATACAAGGTTCTTCTATTTCTTATTTATTTATTTACTTATTTTTTAATTCAACTTTATTACGAAATTAAATAGCTTCTTTTGTTGATATTAGTGTTTCTTATTTAGAAAAATATGCGATATGATCAACTTCGTGATGCTATAGCAATGAGGAAACTTGGAGGAGCAGGAAGTGAGATAAGTTTATAATTTATTAACTTCAATGAGAAATTTAATTAATTACAATTTTGTTATTGAATTTGAAATACAACAGGGAATATATCAATGGATCCTGAACGTGTAAGAAATGATCCAGTGGTAGTAAAGAACATTCGTTACTATAAAGCAAAGAGCAAATTAGGGGCAGAAGTGATGAAGCTCAATATACCACCATGACCTCAAAACTTGGGGGGAGGGGGGGGGATCAGTATAAACAAAAGTTTTTTCATTTATTTTTAGTGATTTACATATTTGGTCCCTGTGTTTAGTTGATTTTTTTGGTTTTGGTGCCTAAAAGAATCAGGCTGTAGTTTTTGGACCTTGTTTCACTGTTTCATAAAACATTTATGATTGCCTAAGTTAACAACCTAGCTATTAGTTTTTTTTAAATCACCATTTTGCCTTTAAACCAAAACTAAAAAACATATAGCATAACAACAAAATTTATATTTTTCTTTTTTTTTACTTAAGTTTAGAGTAGATTACATTTTTTGTCCTTGAGTATACCTGATTTTTTTCCAGAAGGTTCTGAGGGGCGTTTTTGGTATTTCAGGGTCAAATGTTGACTCTAGTTGAGTGCACACTTCTATTATACCGTGCATTCTTACCTGCCCATGTATGGTACCGATTCTGTTTGAAAAAAGAATACAGAAGCCTATTTTCATCTTTCACAACATGATTATATTTAACTTTAAAGCTCACATAAATTGTTGAGAAGGTATATTTCTTATTCTTATTTTGTTACTACCGGAGACATAAAAAAACCTTCTGACGAGGGCGTTCATGCCTTTTGTACAACCCGTCTGTTATATTATGTCATGCCATCTCTTGTCTTGTCTATTGATTTTTTTACAAAGGTATACACACATGTAACATCATAATTTCATTATATATATATAACATCCAACTTTAACATTGAGTTTGCTGTTTTCGAAAATAGGATCATAGCTATCGATTAAAAAGATGGAACCAAGAATCGAACACAACATCATTTTTTTTTTCAAAAACAACATTGTACATCCAAATTATAAGTATTCAACAAAGAACCATACGAATGAGTAAAAACATATAATTTCGAAAACAATATACATTTATTCGACTAATCAGACTGATGGGAAGGTTGAAGTTTTTTTTCATTTGTTTTCTATGTAGGAATTATGACATAATGTTTGTGTAAATTGATTATTAAAATGGTTTGAAATATATATACAAGTCAATATGATGAAAATTAGTAGTTAATCAATTAAGATCTCATTTAAACTTAAAATAGAAGATATCGTGCTTGAAAGTGTATTGGTTCATAAAAATATCCGAAACTTTTGAAATTTAAAATTAATAGTTCCGAGATTTCAACATATAATATATTTGAAAAGCAATTTTGAATGGAAATAGAGCCTAAATTTAAGGTTTACATTAATAAGGAACCAATTTTGTAGTTGTAAGTTTGGAAAGAATTCAAGTATCATTTTCATTCAATTCCTACATTTAATTTCCTAATATAACGGATTGACTTCTTGTTTGATCAAGGTGACGTAAGCAAATTGATCTAAGGGTGTAAAACCTATAAAGAAAACACAATCAACGATCCAGATTATTTTAAATGATATCATAAAGTTTCTCTTTTAATAAAATCTAGAGATTTGTTTTCTACGTGGGAATTATGACATAATGCTTGTGTAAATCGATTATTAAAAAGATTTGAAATATATATACAAGTTAATATGATGAAAATTAGAAGGTAATCAATAGAAATTTCATTTAAACTTAAAATAGAAGATATCATGTTCGAAAGTGTATTGGTTCATAAAAATATACGAAACTTTTGAAATTTGAAATTAATAGTTTTTGAGATTTCAACATATAATGTATTTGGAAAGCAATTTTGAATGGAAATAGAGCCTAAATTTAAAGTTTACATTAATAAGGAACCAATTTTGTAGTTGTAAGTTTGGAAAAAATTCAAGTATTTATTTTTATTCAATTCTTACATTTAATTTCCTAATATAACGGATTGACTTCTTGTTTGATGAATATGACGTAAGCAAATTGATCTAAGGGTGTAAATCTTATAAAGAAAACACACTCAACGATCCAGATTGTTTTAGATGATGTCATAAGGTTTCTCTTTTAATAATATTTAGAGATTACAATATTTATGAAGTCCCACTTATATCCTAATAAAACATAAGCTACAAATGGAAAATAAGAAAATTCATTAGTTTTACCATGAAACTATGGTAGCCTATGAATCATCATCTTAGGTACTTTGGAGTCCAAAAAGTCTAAATACTAATCTTACCTTTACAATCATACATAACCCATACACTTGGAGTGATTAAAGAAGACCAAACCAATGATTTAAAAAAAAAACAAATACGGGTTACGAGTTACTACTCTTTCATATTTAAGTCCCCAAATGCCAACTAAGCATACAAATTATCCACCTGCACCTTAACAATGCTACCGAAAAGAAATGGGGTAACCACTAACCAAATAATTTTCTAAAATCAAATACAATTGCATCTCTTTTGGACTATATTTGTAAAACAATTTAGAGCTGAGTTGTAAATGAGATGAGAATATATGGACTTTACTGCTGATTCCCTAGCCACATAAGGAGGACGATCGGGTGTCCACCGAGTAACCGAGCAATTACCAAAATTCGAATAAAGTTGCAAGTTTTTTGGGTTTTATTGTTACTTAATCTTAATTGACGCTAAAATATAAGAACTTTTAATAAAGATTTCTCTTTGTTTTATAGTTAAATCATAATCTTTCTTTTTCTTTTTCTTACTTTATGTTTACTTTAACTTTGATTTATATATTTTTTTTTTCTTTTTGTTATGACGAATGACACTCATATAAAATATTGATCAAAATGTTGATGAATATAATTTGAGTAAAACGTCAAAAATATAGACAATTGACATCAAACAATTCTGCAATGCAGAAACAATAAATTTTCATATTTATGAAATATATTAATTGTGTTGGATAGTTTTAATATACTTTTAGGTTGTTATATGTTTGTAAGTATTACTAAATTTTAATATTTAGTTTTTGGTTAGATGTTTAATAACCGTGCAAATTTAATGAAATAAATGCAAAATGTGGTATATTCTTTGGGATATGTTGTTATTAAAAGAATAAAGCAGCATTTTGAAAACCGGACCCGGCCGGTTGAACCGGAAACCAACAAAGTTATCAGC